CGCGTTCTCTCTCTCTCTCTCTAACGTGTTCTCTCTCTCTCTCTCTCTCTCTCTCTCTCTCCCTCACAAACGGGAATGCATCTGCCCGTTTTCTCGGAAAGATTGCATTCCCGTTTATCATTTCTCTCTCTCTCTCTCTCTCTCTCTCTCTCTCTCTCTCTCACGCACGCACACACACACACACACACACACCCTCCCCGCCCCGCGGCGGCCATGTCTGCGCGGCAGCGCCGGATAATAGCGCCGCCATTTTCTTTTTTTTTTGTGGCACACACACACCCGGCGGGAGATTCCAAAGGACGTTGCCTACCTCCACCGCCGGCGGGAGATTCCAAAGGACATTGCCTCCCTCCACGGGAGGATTCCCACCCGATTTCAAAATTTGTCCGATGGAGCTGGGACAGCCTACCTCGACCGGGGACGGTTCGTGTCGGCGGTTGGGGAATACCGTGACAGCCTGGGACCGCATGGAACCGCGTCGGGCCTGCCAGGGGACGGTTCGTGTCCGCGGGTGGGGGATACCGGGACAGCCTGGGACCACACCACCAAGTCGGGCCTGCCATTACCGCTTTTTCCAACTGCGGGTCTGACATTACCGCTCCTCCCAGTTATTTTTCCCTTTTCGAACTGGGCCCCTTCCGTCTATGCCATTTCGTGTTTTTTTCGCCTATTCGAACTCAGAACCTGCCGCGTCCGCCGTTGTTTCAAAAATAAAATAGCAGCCTGGTGGGTGGTAACCCGCGGACCAGGGATCGAGCCCTGGCTGAAACCGTGACACCTCGGTGATGCAAAATCCCCAAGGAATTGTTCGTTCCACCTATCCTCGGGTATGCAATCGAAAAAACAAAGTGAAAACTCGGGTAAGGAAATTCCTCGGGCAATAGGACTTTCCCCAGCCATTTCTTCCTATTGCCCAAGGGACTTTGTGAGGTCCCTTGGGCACAAGGAATCCGCGTTCACAGAGAAGAGAGGGCACACGCGTAGAGAGACGTTACAGCCGAGAATCTGGACCGTGGCAGCACCCTACTGGCTGAAGGCCTGAAGCACAACTTTTTTTTTTTTTTCATTTCTTTTTTCTTTTCTGATTGAATTCTTATGGAATGTCCTCGGGTAACGTCCCCCAGGACAGGTGGAACGACGGCCCAAATTTGCTTTTGAACCATTATGAATTTTTCCTATTGCCCGAGGATTTCAAGAGGAGTGTCTAACGGCGCCCTTACTTAGAAAGAAAAGAAAAGCACTTTTACTTTGAGAAAAAAGAAAAAACTACTCGATTTCTGCGTGTCACCCTTGCGCAGGGGCCATGCTAATCTTCTCTGTATCGTTTGAAATTCATGCTCAATGTCAATAGTCAGCCTGGTGCTTGAGAATCCGTGCGGCACTAGATTGCCTCAGAAGGTACTCACACAAGGACCTAAACCTTTAGGAGACAATTCAATTAAATCCGAGATCGTGGGAACTGGGAAGTAACTCCATGGTGGTTCCAAGGAGAACTCAGAGATCCCATAGTTTTAATGGATGTCCCGTATAACAAAAAACTACGGCTTTTTTGTCTCATTTCTCAAAGCGAGGTCCCTCTTGCACGGATTATTCACCTCTGGCCGTTTGCTAATCTTCATGTATCATCAACAGTCGTAAGTGGGACCCCACCCTAGAGGCGAGGTCCCACTAGCAAAGAGGATTGGATTTAATGCCTGAATGTGGACGGCTTTGTGTGGAGGTGCACACAATTCTGATTGGATCTGCTTTCCTGCATCTCTGCTTGAAACCCATCTACATTCGGGATCTTAGTCAACAATCCCCTTCGCTAGTGGGACCTTGCTCCAGGCGATTTAGCTTCTTTTCCCCCCCTTCAATCAAGCCCAGTGCCCAAGGCTATACATCAATCAAATAGCAAAATCATTGCAAACTGCTGGGGTCAACATGCCTCAAGCCTTCAACCCTCAGGCCAAGCGGTGCCCCTGTAGTAAACAAGAAAAATACTGAGAAAATCCCAACTTGATTCAGTCCAAATCTTTAACAAAAATCCCAAAATCCTACCAAAACGAACCGTAACGGCTCCAGTCTACCAGTCGTCGACCATTTCACTCACACAATTCCTCTAAAAAAGAATCAAATCTAAGAACGAGCAAAATCCCTATTCGCAGCGATCAGACACTTAAAAGTCAGCCACACCCACTCTCTTTCATATTAGAAGCAGATCTTCAGTCCTCCAGCTGAAACCAACCATATTCAGTTGAAAATCACACCTGCTCTCTGTCAGAATAGAAAGCTGGCTCAAAGCAGCAACAGGCGCGATGCCTTAAGCAGTGGAGAAAACTGAAATGAAGAACCAGATCGCGTAAGATAGCAGGAAGAAAACATACACGGACCCTAAAAGGCAGAACCAAGCGAGGCGACCTGAAGAAAAAGGTTCCCACAAAGAGTCCAGCACAAGAGAATCTCATGCTCCAATTCAGCCAAGTACATCTTTGACGAACGGAACAGAAGCACGTGCTTAGATACAGCCTGACCAAACGTCAAAACCTGCGGACGCAAAGATGCAAATCCAGCAGCTGCATTTGCTTGGAATCGATTATAGTGAAACGGTTTTCAACTCTTTGCAGTAGTAGACGCAGATCCCAGGGTTCGATCCCTAGACCTTGCCCTACCTGTGTACAGTATCTGTGTAGACCCCGAGAGTTGAACCTGTGACCTGTGTGTTCGCAAACAGTTGATAGGCTGTCATAGGTCCGTAGGTCGGGGTTCGATCTGTAGATCTGTAGGATAGAAGTCTTAGCGAGTTCCAGAAGTCTTAGCTGTAGTACTTCTAGAAGGTCAGCAAGTGGGCAAGTGGGCAAGTGGTGAGTCAAGTGGTGGAGTAAACTGCAGTGCAATTGCAGTGCGATCTCGGTAGGTTAGCAGTGAGTCCCCACTCAGTCAGCGGTAAGGTCCAGTCAGTCCCAGTCCGGTCCAGCAAGTACCATAAGGGACTGTGAGCACCATGGGCCGATGGAAGAGGGCAGACCAACGAGTTTCWGAAGTATAAATCAAGAGGCAGCGCCCAGCCATTCATTCATTCCTGCGTGAGCCATGCGGCAGCGCTGCCACAGCGACTTGTGCAAGGAGGTCTGCAGTGAGCCCGGAGCTGACGTGGGCGAGAGAGAAGGAGCGTAGCATAGCGATAGGGTAGCGGCAGCCATAGCTGCCATAGCTGCCATAGCTGTAGTTTAGTGTTCAGTGTGTGTGTGCATGAGTTCAGAGCGTCGCGTGTGGGATATCCAGGGTGATCCGGTGTATGTGAACTGTGAGTTGTTTGGGCGCTGAGTCGCCATAGCCAATTGAAAGTGAACTCGTATCTGGATGCCATATCTCTGAGTTTTGAGTGGGCGCATGTCGCCAGTTTGCTGCGCTGCTGTTTAGATGCATGAAAAGTGTGAATGAGAGTGAGTCTGATTGCAATAGCCACGGCACACTTCAACAACAGCACGCAGGTCGAGACGCATCAGAACGATAAAACACTCTTCAAATGCCAGCGGCCAGCACATACAAATCACATGCTCCAACCCCGTCAGATATGTTGTCCATAAACCAATCTCTCGTAATTTTATTATTATTTTTTTTTCCGGGAAACCAATCTCTCGTAATCTCCAATCACGCCGGGAAAAAAAAAACTACAGGCCAGCAACTGTACAAAACCAGATCCGCTCAGCACACGTATGAGAAGTCGTCTAAAACGACGATTTGATGTCAGCTTCAGCAGCTCGCTGTGTTAGTGCAGGCGATTTAGTTTTTCCTTAAATGTTTATTAAACTTTATTTTTATTATTTTATTTTGCTAAAACAGAAATTTAAAGTTAGAGAAAACAGCTTCTAGAGAACACAAAAACGTAAAACAAATAACACTCCCCACCAATAGACTGGAGCCCCCTGCAAGATAGGTACGAGTGTATGCTCTTATATCATCATTCCTATCTGTCGACGCAGGGTTTTATTAAAAAAAAGAAGAAAAAAAAGGATGGCACAGTGGTAGGATTGAGAGGTGGAAAGCCGTAAGGGTAGGTGTGAGGCGTGCTGCCTGAGGATGACCGGAGCAGCAACTGGTCCAATCATGTCAAGCTTCTGTTCGCGTTCTGAGTATTGGAACACAACCATTCGTCTGAATTATTTTTTTTCCCCTTGCTTGGACTGATCCAAGACCAAGCAACTGATCAAAAAAGATCCTTAGCTACCAAGATGAGGAGATTACTGAGGGCTTCAGACAGAGAGTATTGGGCAGGGGAAAGCTGGGAACCGTAACTGCCGGAATACTCGGGCTTAACTGGACAGTTACAGCACCACTTGGGGACCGACACAAACAACAACTGGGAGGAGGTCGAATCGCAAGACCAAGCAACTGATCAAAATAGATCCTACCAAGATGCAGAAGATTACTGAGGGCTTCAGACAGAGAGTATTGGGCAGGGGAAAGCAGGGAACCGTAACCGCCGGAATACTCAGGCCTTACTGGACAGTTACAGCACCACCGGGGACCGACACAAACGACTGGGAGGAGGTCCGATTGCAAGACAGCAGCTTCTCACAGGTTACAGACGCCAACTCCCACTCTAACTGACAGCAGCTTCTCACAGGTTACGGACGCCAACTCCCACTCTAACTGACTAAGCGCTGATGGGCCTGCCATAGGGTACAGTGGTACACTCAGTGGTCTCGCCGTATGTCAGGATATACACCCCAGGATTTCCCAGGGAATCCCGACGCTGCATCAGAGGAAGTTAGGTGAGGATACCAAATGGGAGGACGGTTAGGAGAAGAGGCTGCAAGCGGAGGGTGCTTATATTAAGGCCGCTGCTAGGGTCTAGGGGCTTAACCTTCAAAGGGGACTGTCATGGACCAAGAAAGGATTTGACTGGGAATTAGATACTAGTGCAAGCACTGCAAAGTTGCAAAACCAATTGAGGGCAACAGCGTACAGGAGGCTAACTTAGGCAGGGGTGAGGGGTGGTATATGACCGTATATCCTTTCCTGAGGGAAGCAATCAATACTGTCCACGCGGACCTCTCAACCATGATGGGGAGGAGCGTTGCCGCCGTTGCGTGAGTATAACCTGTTCCATTGTTTGACTTGCCGGCGGAGACGGAACAGGACTACTGCTTCCCAGAATAGGAGGAGCCCAGGTTTTTCTTAAAATGATAATATATAATAATAGTAATAATTTGAGTTCATGTTTTGGGGGCAAGGAGGGGGGGAGAAGGGAAAGGGGTCTACTGAAGTGGCAACAAAAACAACAAGTGAAAAATCTCAAGAGGGAAAAAAAAAATAAAAAAGAAAGAGTCTCAGACAACAAGGAACAAGAAAAAGGGAACTCACCAACTGACCTAGCACAGTTGCTACACCCCTGAACTGTTGAATCACAGACCCGAGTTCGAACTCCACTGAGAGAGTCTGAACCACCTAGGGCCAGTCAGCTCGGATGATGATAATCTCAAGGCCGTTGCACTTCATTAAAAAAAAAAAAAAAAGAAAGGTACTCGATCCCCATTGAAATGATTATAAGTTTGTACACTCACAAACTGTTGAAATCCGGACCTGAGTTCAAATCCTGAAAAACAAAAGAAACAAGATTATCAGCGGGTTCTATACTCTCAGACCTGCAGGGTCTTTTCCCCGGGTATGTGATGCCATGGGGACAATTTTTTGGGGGGAGCTACTTACTGTAATTACAATTTTTTTACAAGTTTAGCTAGTGCAATAGCTGTTGTAGGAGATACCATAGTAATCTGCATCGTAGAAATATCAGAAGGGTCCGTGACTAAGTATGTACCTTTTAGACCAAGTACAAATTCTAAGTTCTACTGGCAAGCCCCCAGAAGAACAGACACCACTCAACAGCTTTCTCAACACAGTAACATAGTCGGGCTATACTTCAACGATTAGCAATGCCGAGTTTTCATAAGTTGAATGATTTTGAGTACTTTCTCTTCATTTCAGAAAATGCTGCCAATTGCAAGCTTCGCTCACGGGAGAAAGAAAAGATGCATTGCATGCATGTAGCAATTGATCAGAACTTCAGAAGCATTCGACCGTAGCACAATTATCTTATTCACACTGGTAATTTTCTGGATGAATCTGGCAGCGTTCACAGCAAGAGGCCTGATCGGCAAATCACATTCTTGTGCAAAAGCTTGTTCCTGGATACAGCACCTCCAGTTTTGGAATTCAGTGTACCCAGCTAGTGAACGTCTCTGCAGTGATTCTAAAGAGGGGAAAAAAAGAAGTGCTGAAGTGTGAGAGCGAGGGTCGGCCTGTTTGTGGTTCCACGGATTTGCTGCAGCATTTTACTGAGACCAAGAGGTGTAGAGGTAAAATGCTGCAGCAAATTCTTGGAAGCACAAACAGGCCGAACCTCGCTCTCACACTTCAACGCTTCTTTTTCCCTCCTTAGGATCGCTGCAGCGACGTTCCGTAGCCGGTCACAATCAATGCCAAAACTGGAGGTGCTGTATCCAGGAACAAGCTTTTGCACAAGAACGTGATTTGTCGATCAGGCCGCTTGCTGTGAACGCTGCCAGATTCATCCAGAAACTTACCAGTGTGAGTACGATAACTGTGCTACGGTCGAGTGCTTCTGACCAATTGCTACATGCATGTAATGCATCTTTTCTTTCTCCCGTGAGCAAAGCTTGCATTTGGCAGCATTTCTGAAATGAAGAGAAAATACACAACAGTGCTGACGCTGTTCATGCCTTTCTGCAAGATGTGATGTTGGAGGGCCGAAGGCCTACTCACACCTGGTCTGTAGGAAGTTCCTCGCCGTGATTACCATGATGAGATGTATCCAAGGAAGCCCTCGAGATCGAGTGTGGTGAGCATGCCATCAATTCTCCTACACCATCTCTTGCAGGAAGACAGAGACAGCGTCAGCACTGTTGCTGAGCTTCAGAAATGCCTCTCCGACTTCTTTACACGTCCTGGTCGTGCTCAAATGCTGCAGCATATCCTCTGAGCGACAAACGGGCTGACCCTCTCTCTCATGCTTCAGCAATTCTTCTGCCCTCTTTAGAATCGCCGCATGGACGTTCGCTAGCTGGGCACAATGAATTCCAAAACTCGAGGTGCTGTATCCAGGAACGAGCTTGTACAGAAATGTGATTTGCCGATCCAGGTCGCTTTCTGAGCTCATACCTTCTGCAGCGGAAAGTTTTTCTGCACTCCGCTCATCTGCTGGGACCGCCGGTCGCTTGCCTTTCGCCTCAAGGATGCACATTGTGTAGAATTCGATCTGCTCCGATCTTGGGAGGTACTCCTCGTTCCGGAGTTCCGTGTAATGGGTGCACGCGAAAACCTTCGGAGGCGTTGCACTCGACATCAAGTGCTGAATTGTTGCGCAAAGCAGGCCGATCCCATCCGAGGCCAACGTGCCTTTGCCGAACTCGTCGATGATGCACAGTGATTTTGAAGTCGCATGCCGTAGCATAACCGCAATTTGGTTGAGGTCGATCATGAAGGTTGACTGCGGTAACAGTGCTGTTTCTTTACTTAAAATTCTGGTGAATATCCTGTCGCACAGTCCCAGAATACACTCGTCTGCGGGTACGAAACTCCCAATATGTGCCATGAAAGTAATCATCGCAACCTGTTTCGCGTACACACTCTTCCCAGAACAGTTGGGGCCGGTGATTATGTTAACCCTGCCCTTGTTTTCGTCCACGTGTGTGTTGTTTGGGATGAAGGTATTCACAACGAGCTCCTGCAATGGATGTCTGCCATTCTTTATCTTCATCACGTCGGAGCCTCTGACAAGTCTAGGGCGTTTGAAATTATGTTCAAGAGCTGCTTCACTCAAAGAAACAACGCAGTCCAGTTCTGCCATCGCATCTGCAGCCTTTCGAAGGACGTCGGTAAAGCCAAGTACCCGTGCTTCCAGCCCCCGAATAATTTCACCTTCCATATCGGTGATCACATTGTAGAGGTCACCAACAACTTTGTTCATCTGAAGTGTCAAAGCAGTCTGGTAATGCACTCCTCGACCATTCTGGTCTTCCCCCTCAATGATGAGCCGCAGGTCGGATAGAATCTCCAAGACGGAGTCCGGGAGCCTTGCCCCCTCAAAACGCAGAGAATATCCCATCTCAGGCGTGAACACAATCGCTCCCGATGCCAGTGTCTGGTGCGGAATCAACGGTCCCACACTTTCCAAAATCCTTGTCATCTCTCGCCTTGTTGCCCCATCGAGAATATCCACCAACCCATTGTATTTCCGTTTGACGTCATCGAGCTGCTCGCTGAGATGGTAACGAACAAGGGCCCGCTTTCCATCAAAGAATTCCTGATCGAAGTCGATAATCTTGTTCACAAGCTCGATGACGTAAATGAGATCCTCATTCACGACTTCCAACACCTTCTGGACCGGGGACAGATTTCCGAGTGATTCGTTTTCATGATTACCACCAACATGCCTCGAAGAGAAGGCTATACTGAGCACGTCTTTCAGGTTGCACATGCTCGACAAGCTCTGCACAAGAAGCGACCAATCTTTAACCGTCGAAGCGTACCCGCAGCAGGTGAACTTCTTAAGGATTCGTGGCACGCACTCGATGCATCGCAGCCCCTTTTTCAGCGCATCGATGAGGTCCCTCGAGCGCGAAAGCCATTCAATTGTGTCAAGTCTGTCTTCAATCCGATCCACGTCGACGATCGGGCGAAGAAACCAAAGCCGCAGCAGTTTACGGCCCTGCCTCGTCGAGCACTTGTCCAGCAAGCCGAAAAGCGAGAGTCCCTCCTTTGGTCTTCCGACTCCCATAGCGCTTGGGTGTCGTTCTGGTTGAAAGATCTGAAGCGCATCAAGTGTGGTGGGGTCCACCTTCAACATTCCATCAAGACTGATTTCCGCAAGCTTTTCGACATCCACAGCACCAGCACTGGATGCTCCGATGGTGTCCATAATCAAGTCCCGATGGAGGCCCATGATAAGACCCCCAGCTGCTCGAACTTGAACTTCTAGCCGCAAATTTATCATGGAATTTATCAGATGCAGCCGTTCCACTTCAGAGATGTTGTCCGGCATCCCCCTCACCCTCAAGTAGGCCAACCTTGTTTTCGCTTGGTCCAAGCTGAAGTCAGAGCTCTTCATCGTCTTGACTTCGAACTCAGGTCCATCCTTGGTCAAACTCCTCCTCAGTGCCTCAAAGAAGGGTACATCAGATTTGGTACTCGTGTAGATTACTTGTGGCTGGGCCTGAAGCTTAAGCAATTGAAGGCTGGGATAAGCTTCGCCTGGGTCTTCCCACGACTCCAGGACAAACACCTCCCCGGTCGAATGGTCGTAATATGCTGCACCAAGCCTTTGACCTTGCATGATGCAAGCCATAAAAGTGTGTGGTACCACTCCCTCTCCTCTCCCACATTCCACTTCTCCATCGCTCTCTCCCCAACCATTACCGTTACCGTGACGACTTGGAGTATGATCCATATCCGCGGCCCGTTTAAAGGCGGGGGGCTCAGCCCGTCAAGACCAAAAGAATTATGATAAATTTTCGAACGACTATGGTCAACAAAATTACAGTCGGGGCTCAACCAGTCAACACCAAAACTAGGATCATAGATTTTTCAAAAGACTATCGGAAAAAATTATGGGCGAAGTTGGGAAACTGGTCACTTGATGCGGTGAAACCCCACTGGCAGGATGCATTTTTTGTGTGAGGCCCCTTCTACATGATGGAATCGGAAAGCCGCCTTTCTCCCTCTCTTTTTACCTTAAGTTTACTGCTCTTCTTGTTTCTTCCTCCTCGGCCTATGCCCTGCCGAATTGCGATGTTCTGCACGTCTCCTCAAACACGTCCACATTCAATCCTCTCTGGAAGTGGGATTGTGCCCCAGAGGTGTGAATCCAGCCTCAGGAAGTGCTCACAGACGACTCATAAAATGCCTCTGCCTCACAACGCCGACAGCAACATCAGTTTCAGAACATACAGTAGGAATTTTTCTTACTTATTTCTGGACGTAATTGCAGTCAGATTCATCCCCGTTGGGCCTTAAATGCAGTCAGATACATTTAAGACAGTGCTGGTGTGAAATAGTGTGAGTACGCCCTGAACATGTTTATGCAAGTCTGACCTCCCGAAGAGAATGAAGACAGTGTACCATAGTCTGGCACCCCTTCCGCTCGCACATATATCCCCTTGTTCTCCCTTCCTACTATCCTTCCGTGTCCCTCGTTACCACGGAGCCATTCCTCCCATGCTCTCCGTGTCAGCACCGGTCCTTAGCTGTTGCAGCTGTGGAATGTCCTCTCTCCTCCTCCTCTTCTTCGCTGTCCCACAGATTTCTCTCTTCCTTGTACTACCACGGAGCTATTACTTCCATGTTCTTCATGCCAGCATTGGTTCTTACTACCGTCTTCACCCGAATAGAACACCCGGTAATTATCGCCGTATCTGGGCTGAAAGTTGTGCCAAATACAGCTATAATTTCTGGGTGTAGTCAACTGTTGCAGCTGGGTAATGTCTTCTCCCTTCCTTCTCACGGTCCCTGTCCGACAGATTGCTACCACAGAGACATTGCTTCCGTGCTCTATTTGTCAGCCCCTCGGTCCTTAGTTAATTCTTGCAGCTGTGCTCTCTCCTCTTTCTCACCTTCCCTGTCTCACAGATTGCTCCCGTGTTCTTCGTGACATTGCTTCCATGTTCTTTGTGTCAGCATCGGATTCCGTCCTCAGGTAACTGTTTGCAGCTGTGCAATGTCCTCCATTTTTTAAGAAGAATCAGCTCTTTCTTGAAGATCTTAGTCAATAATAGTATGCAGTCCTTCCTCTTGCTGTGTAATTATAGCCAGTGTGAACTTGAATGATGTTTCTTCTCTCCTCCAGAGTAAGACTTGGTGTGCCTGGAAAAAAGGGAGAACAAAAACAGCAAAACAAGAATTGGTGTATGTAATGAGTCGTGCACCGGCCAGCATGCAAAAGTGAGGCTGACGGTAATTAGACCATGTTAACTTCCAGGGTGACTTCAGAAAAMAGTTACATTGGAACCCCCCCCCCCCCCCAAAAAAAAGGGGAAAAAAAAAGGGAACAGATTCCAGCCGTCGTCAAAACACACTGTGACACTCGACATAGCCAGAGACATACCATGCATGCACCTGACCAGGCTGACCGTATGTATGACAATGTGCTATCTGCATAAAATGAGAAAACAAAGGACTTGACACAACATACGTAGAAACAAGCTTGATGGTAGCCACGCCATGTCGGCTTTTGGGCTGATTCTAAAAATATATCCACAAAAAATTCTACACCCGATTTCAGAGATGGCAATTTTTCCTTTTTTTTCACCCTTAACCCAACCCGCCCAATTGTTTTTGTACTGCCCACCCAACCCAGGAATTTTAATTTCCGATTCAAGATGACCTCACTGACCCAAAACATTTTCTGAAATTTTGGCCCCGTGGTCGACCCACCCAGCACCCGAATAAAGTGTTCACCTAGACCCACCCCAATCCGTAAGAATATCATTACCCGGCCGCATCCGAGACCTACATTTCTCCTGCCCACACCCACCTGAATCCGCCCGCAGCCGCCCATGTCAGTCCCTTACACTGTTACAATGTCATCGATAACATGACTTTGCAACAAAGACATTTGAAATATTACTGTTAAGTAGTATTAACACATCAACAGTATCGTCGACAACGACAATTAAAAGAAAATACCTCAAGAGCTTATTATTAACACACACAACACCGTGTCAATAATTTTCAGAAAGTTTGGGAC